TTTGTTTGTTTGTTTGTTTGTAATCTTCCTTTCCATTACTGATTGAAGTAGGAGGAGGAGGAATAGCACGAATTGTATATTTGACTTTATCTCAGTTGTTAAATTGATCATAGCTCAACTGATGGGTTTTGTCCAGTTCTTCTCCCCAACCCCTGTGAGGCGAGGCAGTGGGGGAGCATTCGAGTGGCTGCTTCGTATTTAGCTTCTGTCTGGGGTTAAGCCACAACAGCCATGTAGATTTTTCTAGTCGTGTGTGAACAGATGACAGAAGTAAAAGCCCAGAAAATATTCATTTTTTCAGGCTTTACATGTAATAGTCTGGTAGTTCCAAATTTCAGACCTTACAAGCTAAACAGACTGTGGCTATGTAAATTAGAAACACTCAGAGCAGCACAGTGAATATTGCTCTGCATTTGCTTCCTCTATTAACAGATTTGTGCTTGAGATTCTATGTTCTCATATGCCACACCTGTGTATCTTTACAGTCAATATCACATTTTTAACCAAATCATTTTCTGTAAACAAACCAAGGCCTAAAACCTCAAATAAATGTAGTGATCTAATTTAGGTTCTAAGCATAAACATTTCAGTCCAAATTATATTTACAAACCTGCTGTGGAAATATATCCCTTCAGTTAACACACCAGGACCACCAGCCTATTTTTCCCAGGTTAATGGGATGTTTTTGAATGTTAGTCTTGTAATTCCTCAGAGTCACATGCTGCTCACATTTCCAACCTTTTGCACAATATGAATCCTGATTAATTTCTATGGAAGTCTTATAATGGGAGGTAAAACACAGATAATAAATACACATAAAGGATTTAATGCCAAAATATTTAAATCTGTCACTTAACATTTCAAACTTTAATAGCACTGCAAGTGCTCAGCACCTCATAAAATCAGACAGTTAATTTCACAGACTGCACATCCAAATACAAGAGTTTAATAGATATATATGGAATGTCAGGCCTTGGTGACTTTAGCCAAAACAGCAGAGCCTGTCAGTAAAATAGAGCTCAGAATAAAACTGATGAGCCTATGCTCAGGTCACTAGGTCACACATAGGTCAAACATGGAGTCCTTTATCTGTATCAAGACGGTAGAAGTGTCCCTGTGGTCATGGAAACCTTCCTTTGTCAAAAAGCACAGGGAAAGGGCTGCAGAAAGGGCTCTTATTAATTCTATTCTGCACTTGAATAGCACAATTTTTCTCATCTCTCACCTTTATGAGATCACTAAAATGTTATTGATTGGGCTGATGGCTTTAGACTTGGAAGAATCCCACTTAACACTGCATTTTTATGAACCTTGTATGTGACCTGGGTAAGTTCATTTCTCTTCTTTCTTTGTCCCTTGATTCCCGATCTAAAAAATAGTCATATCTGTGTAGCACAGAAAAGATCAAAGCAGTAAAGACTGCAAGGTGTTCAGGTAATGAGCAGAGAGATAACAGAAGAAAGAGGGACTGCTGCCTACTGAAAAGCCATAATTATTCTTCCTATTCTGTATGTCTCTAGTATAACAATTCTTGGCATATCCATGAGTGTTCTCCCATGCGTTTTACTTCTGGGATATCCACATGTGTCCTTTCATGTTTTTTAATTCATGTGCTGCTCCATAAGGATCATTAGGCAGCAGGATCTTTATTAACTCCAAAAAGACCTAGTCATCAAAAGCCGGCCACGTAGGTGTTAGGATAAAGATACCGAAGACATTGATTTGTAGCCTAAAAAATGCTCCTCTAGATGCAGGCAATTATGGTTAGACACCTACTCCTTTTCGGTCATTCCCCACTCCCAAATTTCCCACCAAAGTTAATGTCTCTGTTATTACACCAGAACACCTTTATTTTTAACCACTTCCCAGATATCATTGGCTTAAAGTAAGAAAAAAACCCAAACAACAACCAGAAAACGCATTAGAAAGCCCTTAGCTCAGATTCAGGTTTTCCTTTTATAAGGTGGACTAAGGATTGATTACAGGAGAAGTAGAATCCACAGAAAAGATGGGGCAGAAAACACTGGAAGCAGAGGCACTGCAAGTGGAAACAACGTAATTATACCCTAAATCAGTTCTTGTTCCAGCTCTATCACACAGGTCCTACAGTCCTGTTACTGTTTTTCTGGATGTTTTTCTTACCACATCAGTATCCTCAAAGCTTCTCTGCTATAAAATATCACAAGCTGAAACACCAGTAGCATTCATGCAAAACTTATCTACATCAAGCATTTGCCACATCATGGTATGAAATGCCAGCTAATGTAACCTTGAAGCTATATGTAAGAGCAATGCAATGATTACAATATAAACCTGATGCAAATTTCACAAAATAAATACCCTTACTGCCCAGCAATCCATAGATGAGGATCTGTTACTGCCTACCTGCAGGCAATATCAATAAGTCCTCTAACAAAAGAAGAAAATAAAGCTTAAAACCTTACATGTTGAAATAGAATTCCAAATACTATAAAATAGACCATTGAATCCCCTCACTTCTCAATATAATAGTATTATCTGACATGTATGTTATGAAATTATAGAATGCATAAATTACAGACAGCATAAATCCCATGTTTTGGTTTATTAATGAATGAAATGTCTCCAGATGTCCTTTCACCTCTTTATCTGAATTTAAATAATAATTTATTAATGAGAGCATAACTCACTTTCCACAGTTGTTGGTGGAAGCTTTGTCTGTTTGAAGTCGGGAAGCTGACATGAACAACTCAAAATTTGTTGAATGATAGCTGGACTGATTTGCTTGAAGTGGTCCTTAGATATGGAGGAAGAACTGTTTTTCAAAAATATCTTCACAAGTTCATTGGCAGAGAAACAAACCTTTGTAGAAAAGTACATACAGTTACTAAACATATTGCATATACCTGCAATTAAATTTTGAGGTTAAATACAGAATCTTAGAAGAACACAGTCTAGCCTCAGAAGAATCCTGCTATATATCTATATTCTTTGTTGCTTAAATTACTTACTTCAATTACTTCCATATTTTACTGTGTAAACCTGATACTACTATATATTTCAGAATCTTTGGAATAAAGCAGCTCAATTTCTACTGAAGCCACTTAATGTTATAAAAATCTTTCAAAATAATATCTCTCAATATTTTGTTGTTATCTGTGTTTAGAAAAAATGTTTTAATGCTAATACCAACTAAATTCTTAGATATTCGTGTGAAACTACATTATTTGCAGTAAGAGTGCTATTAATATGAGATACTGCCTACATCAAAGCAATACTGAGATTCTTCCTTGTACTGGATCTTCAGTAAGATAAGGAAATAAGTTAGCTTTTTTAATTGATTAAATGAGGGCATGTCAGCAAACTAGATGTTACATAGTTCAAAATTGAGCTAAAGATTGCTTAATAATTGTATTATTAGATACACTTCAGAATTCCAACTACTTTTTGTTCTTGTTTGGAGCATCTCTTTGTCAAAAGAAGCAATGTTTCATGGGACCATTTATATTTCAAAAATTTTCATGAAGAATTGGGTTTTCCTCTCCAGGATGAAACTTCCAGTAAAAACATGAGCAGTTAACGTAAGAAAACTTCCAGTGGAAATTTCTGTAAAAATTTTTAAACAGAAAAACTCCTGATCAAACATATTACCTAACTTAAAGGAATTATCTTCAGTTCTTAATTGCATCTGATGAGTTGTGATTCAATATTTAAAAACAAATAATTTTCTTTCATTTAAATTGGTCTGCATCTGAGACCCGAGGGATTCCTAAATATTCTTTCTCTCATTACTGAAGCTTAAGCTTCTTTGGAAGTTGTTAAGTATAATTACTTTTAAAAAATCCAGTTAAAACCCAACACATTCCTGCCTTTGCTCATCCATTAGTGAAGTAAAATATGCCTTAGGGTTCACTAAGAAACTGAAATAATTGAGCACTGATATTTTTTTTTCTGAAAACCACAGTCAAGTCTCTAGCATAACAGGTGATCTTGTTACCTGGACCTAGTCTGTTCTGCCTTCAAGACAAAGGAGAGCATGAAGACAATTCAGGAGCTACCATTTGGAAGAGACCTTAATTTTGCCTGTTCAAAGTTGTTTTGACTCTAGAACGAGGGTACACTGACATCTGGTACCAATTTGGAAGATTAGGATTTTGGCTGGTCATGAGCAGCACTGCCGACCAGTTGGAGCAGAGATGATATTATTCAACACCTTCACCAACAACTTGAATGATGGAACAGAGGGCACCAGATGGCATTCACAGGTGAAATACAACTAAGACCACTAGTCAATATGCTGATGGGTGTGGCTGCTATTTAGAGGGACCTTGACAAGACAAAGAGATGGGCTGACCAGATCTTCATAAAGATCAGCCACGACAAACTTATTGTGCTTCACACAGAATAACCCCATGCATCAATAAAGGCTGGGGAAAACTGGCCAGAGGAAGGCAGGTTTGCAGAAAAAGCTCTTGGGGTGGGTCCTGACAGGAAACTTGAACAGGAGCCACCAGTGTGCCCTTGTGGCAGTGACCACTGACTGCACACTGGCTGCATTAGCAAGAACAGAGCCAGCAGGCACTGGAGAAAGAATATTGCCCACCACTCAGAACATGTGAGTCCACATCTGGACTATGTCCAGCTTAATAACCAGCAGTGCAAGACACTGGGCAATTGAGGGAAGTCCAGTGGAGGGCCACCAGGATGGCTAGGAACTGCAGCACATGATGTGCCAGGAGAGGCTGAGGGACCTGCATTTGTTCCCTTTGGGAAAAGAAGAGTTGGTGGGTATTTTAAGTCTTCGACTATCTAAGGTAGTTTAGAGGGAAGAGATAACCAGAATCTTCTCAGAAGCATACAGCAAAAGAATGAGAGGCAAAAAGTATTAGTTGCAGCAACAAAAAACTCCAATTTGATAAAGAAGTCCATCAAGATGAAGGCAATAAAGCACTGGTACATGTTTCCCAAAAAAGACTGTTTAAACTCGGATTTTTTATACATTCAGAATTTAGTTGGACATGCCTCTGTGAAACTTGATCTGACTTTGAAGTTGGCTCTTTTTTGAAAAAATACAATAGGCAAGATGAGGTCCAGGATTACTATGAGCCTAAATTTTCACGTGAATTTATTAACAGGAATTTTAAATGAAAAGCAAAATCTCATCTGTAAAAAATAAACTGCCCACCCATACATAAAAAATAGCTGTTAAGGTGTAACTAGTAAAATGTTCTTGTATGACATGGGGAATGAGAACCTACATCTTGTCTAGTTGCAAGCCCCAGCATTTTAAGCTTTTTAACATAAGGAGTCAGAGATCTATCTCCAGTATAAAAGCAACTATGTGCATTCTCCTGGAGGATGATATCAAAAAAATAAGCAAATTGGTTTCTGCATATTTTCCTGTGAAAAATGGATGGATGGATGGATGGATGGATGGATGGATGGATGGATGGATGGACGGATGGATGGATGACTTGGGTGACTTGGGTTTCCAAAATCCATGCTCGTTTAATGAGGAAGAATAAATGAATACATAGACATTGTGACACAGCTTAATGGAATTTAAGATTATTTATCTTATTAGATCATCAGCCACTTACTTTTTTATATACATTTTAATTGTAGAGACAATGATGACGTTTAAAAGAAAGCAGTGACCCTTCTTCTGTGGTAATGTTTCAAATAATTATTCCTATATAAAATTTCAATTACAGCTCTTAATGCAGTTAGCAAACACAAGTCATAGACGAGTCAATGTCTTGTATGCAGCAGAATCTGCTACTAATGAAGCACAATGGGTATCACAGGTGCAGAAAACAGGAGACAAAATTAGCAACACAGCAGTGAAACATGAAGTGTTCTAATTGAATATGTCAAGGAAAATAGGCATAGCTAAAAAGAACAGGAATGGAAAAAACCCACTTAGAAACTAGGAATTAGTACAGAAGAGAAATTATCTTCTGTCCAGATGTTTCTTCGTGATTTTTTTTATGTTACAGAATATTTTGCTCTCAGTTGACTCCTAAGACTCAGATAATGAATGCCTCTGCACACTTATCTTTTGAGTTACAGTCGATCTCAGAAGTTCAAGAAATCAAAAACTGAGCTTTAAAAATACATCAATTGCTGGAGAACAGTTTTACTTCTTTTACAGATAGAATCACTACTGATTTCTGTCCTTCATAATTTAAAATTCATATGAAACACATTTACAATGACCTTAATTTAAGATTATTTTGAGACCCTATTAAAAGCCTCATCATGCTGATCAGCATGATCCTTTTTTCTGGTCAACTGCAAAGAAATAAACGTATTGATCGAGTATGCATTTCAAATGCAATACAATTACACAGATAAATATCTATCAGAATAGCATTTAACCAGATGAAATTTGTCTGAGCTCCCCATCATAAAATGACCACACAGAAAAAGTCAATTGCACACCACTCAGTTCTCCTAAATGGAGGAGAAACTTTGCCACTGAATTAACATTAATGGTAAAGGATTGAAAATAATATAAAAATTTTCTTTGAAGTATATATTACAAATGTATACATCAAAACACATACCATTTATATATTTTGAAGTATCCTTTTTTTATCTGAGGAATGATACTCAGTCTAAAGGATGAAGCCAGTTACCATCTTGATCATTGACATAAACAAAATTTATTTATTTTGAAATTCTTAGCATAAAGATAAAATCACCTGCAATAAGCCAGTGTCCTTCAAAGTGCTGAGAGAAGATACTGGGGAGTAGCTAAGGCTCTGTTTTACAGCCTTTATACTTTCTAAAGAAGGCATCTGGATTCCATAGATGGCTATGAAAAGAGTTTGGAAATGCCCAATCTTCAATTTAGAGAAGCCTTTTAAAAGCAGCTTACATAGAAACTTTAATTTACTTTGTTTTCCTTAGTGAAAAGCAATCCTTCTTTCTACCAGGGCACTTAAGGAGTCCTAGAAACTCTGTGACATAAAACCACAAGAAATCTCTAACAACTCTATGAAAACATCAAAGCCATGTTACTTCAGTCCTCTGTATCTTGAAGAAACACCAGATTCCATGAAACACTAACCATTTTTAGACTCTCCCAGTGACTTTAATTGCACATTCCCTATCCACAAAGTTCTCTCCCCAATTAATAGTTAAACAAATATAGCTATATAAATATATATTTTCATCCATATCTGCATGACTTTTTGAAACTAATACATTTTACCTCAGACATATTGCATGCTTTGCAAATCAATTTTATCTTCTGTCAATGAAATTCTGCCACCAACACTATAAGAATATAAAAATTAACTAACCTGATCCCAATCCATATTCCTTTCACGATCTTCAAAATAGCCTTTCAGATAGTCTCCTTTTATATGATTTCCTTTGACTGGAGTATTTCTTCTTCCAATATCTCTGATTGCCATATTGTAACGTCTTCTTTTGTGACTGTGAAATTGTCCATTTACAGTGCAGGTCTTTTTGGCTGTAAGCACATTTAGTAGTTGTTCTAGTTCTAGTAATTCATTAGAGAACAGATATGTTACCATGGGAAAATGCACACTTAAAAGACAAAACACTTAAAATACAGTATTTTTTTTCTTTTTGTTTGTTATAACATTGATTCAAATTCCTCATTTTAATACTCTTTTCTCAGTTTGGTACTGGAGGCAATTTCTGCTTAACTCTGTAAGTTCCAGACACACAGATCCTCAGCCTTTCCTTCATACATATCAGACTCAGATGTTTTGCCTATGCCTGTCTCAGAAGAAAACAGACGTGACTGAAAGGCAATTAATCTTTGATTTAATCAGCATCTCTGACAAGGTTATCTAGTAGTTGCTAAATAACTTCATTGTTCTTAAAATTTTCCTGTGTAAATGGAATACCACCATAAGCGACCACAGCCAGGTATTTGAACCATGAAACACATCCTCTATCGGGTGTCCTGAAATCAATCCTCAGGATGCTGTGCTGCCCTTGCACTTCAGAAGGGCAGCACAGGACAGTGAATTTTTTCTCTCCTTTGGTTAACTGGGAAGCATGCCTCACCACAGAACACACAGGAAGGAGAGAGCCAGGATCCCTAATCCAAATCTGAGACCATGCACAGATGTACCTCAACACTGCTGCTGCTGATGGAATGCCTGGTTATTTGAGGAGGCAGGCCCTATCCTATTCCCCTTCCTTCACCCCTGCACTTTCAAATGAAGCAATAAACTTTAATTTGTCCATTAAAAAGTTGTCTACAAATACATTTTAAAGAAATTTAGATTCATGGGAATTTTTCCATATGATAATATAATAATACTTTATTTTTTAAATCTTGTTACCCAGAAAATGCAAATGGTATAATCTTAATGGAAAATCTCACAAAAATGTTTCTGATAAGATGTTTCACTACTTTCTTTTGGCTACTTAAGCAGATCTGAATGGAGCTACAGGTATATTTGTTTTCTAAATGCAGTAAAATCTAATTTTCTTTTTCTATGCTTCCAAATTCTTACTCTTTCCTGAAGTTACTATTAAGAATTTAAATACATTTGAAGGGACAGTATAATGAGATTAGACTTAAAATAGACTTGCTCTGTAACAAACTGGTTAAGAATATTCTTGGTTTTTCTGAAGGACATTCTAACTCCACCAACCATACAGTCCTGCTGTTATCTTCACTGGGGCCCAGATTTCACCATATATAGCTATTTAGTAGCACTCTGCTGAGATGGCTACATCCATTCTTGTGAGAGTTATTTTACAAGATCTGGCTGGGCAATTTTAAAGGAAGGGCTTTGCTGACAAACCGGTTTATGTAAATACAACCTAGGATCCCAGTTTAGGACTAAGGATTATTATTTTTTTAGTATTTATTTCTGTGATTCAATGTACTTCTGTGTAACCTGTGAATGTTAAAAATGTTTTTACCTATGCTCAATTCAAGTTTTTTAATCTGCTTGAACCCATATTTAATGTAACTTTTAAAAAATGCTTTGAAAAGCTTGTAAACTGTTGCTGTTAGCAGTTGCCACAAAAAAAGGAAAAGTAGATGTCCTATAACAACCTTCTAAATCCATACCAGGCCCCTGAACTGATGGTGTAGCTTCTAAAACTGCTAAGCAGGCACAACCTTTTACATAAATTAATAGCTGCTGCTGCTGAGAGCTCGGCATTTATTTTGTTTTGTTTCACATTTTTTGTTTTGATATTTTTGGACAACTTAGAACTCTCCTATACTTCTATTTCTTTATGGTTAAATAGCATTTCTGATAAGTCCACCAATAAATTTTCCTGAAGAAAACGAACTTTGCATACTCCAGCTTACCTGTCACTTGGAGCTCAGTGGTACTATTTAGAGAACTGAAAATATATTTGATAAAGAACTCTGGTGAAGGCAAACTTGCTTTCCCCATACAGACTCCTTGGAGAGCCAGAGTAAGGATTAAAGCAGCCAGGCGTGGAAGAGTGTTTTCATCAGCACCATCTCTGTCCATTATATCAGCATTTTTCTCCAGAGTGCTCACATCAACACACTGAAATCAGGAGAAAACAGCATGAAGACAGTCCTGCTCACCTCCATTTAAATAATTAGAGTGACAGGAGGAGAAACTGGAGAGAACAATTTCGCAGACAGCCAGAGTAGAAAAAATGCTAAGATGTAAGCTGTAATTGCCAGCAGGACAGCTAATCAAAGGACATTTTCAGGAGAACAGGCATAGAATTAAAAATCTTGAACATTTACTCAGTGTCTAATGGGGAAAAAGTACAGTCCTTCATTCAGGTTATTTTTGCTTAGTGTTATTTTCCTGCTGTTTCTATTGTTCCAAGTGTCCTCCTCAATTACATCTACGTGTACTTCCAGAAAGTGGAAGAAAGGGGAGGAATTTTTGTTAAGGCAGACAGACTTTAACTCTTCATCTCAAACTTCAGAAATAATGCTTTAAATGTTTTTAGTTCCTTACCTATTCAATGGAATCAATAGTTTTTTAAATGGAGTAGTTATATGGGACAATAGGGAAACATACAATTTTGCTGATAAAGGGTGACTTTCTTGCTGGGTGACCAAATAAAAACAGTAGGCAGTGGTACACAGCCACGTGTGTGGAGGTCTGCAAATTCTCTCAGTTGCCCAGAAATTTATCCCCCTTTTCATATTTTCTTCCCTTTTCTTGTTTATTTTCACTGCAAATAGTTGGGTTTGAATGAAACAACAGCAACAACAACAACAAAAACAACAAAGGCAAAAATTGCTTAATTTAATTTTTTCTAGCTCATATTAACAAAATTTAAAAGTCAGCTAGATTAGCCAGTACAGCAGTAATTTATTTCATACACACTCATCTCTCCTTATGCAGACCATAAACACTTCAGAGAGGAGGCTGCCATTTCTCTTCCTGCTCATTCACTATACATTAAAATTTTCACAACCCAAAATTTAATCTCTTATTTCAAAACAAGATATTAGGTACTACGACTAAAGAAGAGGATATTTGGTTTCTGTGAAACCAAAACACATAAAGAGCCATTAAAAATGCTTTTCTTCTATGACTACCCTGCACCACTGGCCTTCTTCCACAACTCAAGTGTTGTGATTCCAAGTATTATGCTATTATGTTTTGTGTACCTTTCATAAAAGAAACCTCCTTTCCCTCAAGTCAATGATTGGTGAAGGCTCAGTTACTGGACAGGCTTGACAAGTGATTATACTGCCAGCATAAACAAACAGAACCCTCGGTAAAGCATTTTATGGGTTGTTATTCTATCTTGACATTCCAAATACCCTCCAATGCCTCTTTACAGTTGCTCAGATACCATTGGAGTCCTTGGAAATCAGCACGTTCACCAAGACTCAAAACCAAAAGGACTGGTCAATGAATAATTTATGGTGGGACATGACCTCACAAAGAAGACAGAGAGAGGAGCTGGAGGCTCTCAACATTCTGGACACAGCCAGGTCTCCTACTCATCTTCTGTTTGTGCAGAAAACCCTGCTATAATATGCTATAAATTAAAATCTAATGAAAAGGACAAATTTGAGCTTTGTATAAACCAAATTTAACTCAATACATTTAACAGATCTAAGGGGCTATAAACAGGAGGTCAACTTGTATTTTAGGAGTTAACTAATCTGGCAGAATCCTGTTTTATTGCCCATTACATGGAAAAGCTTTTCTTTGACTTTGAACTCTAGATTATTCTATTATTTATAGATCCTATTTGAGATAAGGAATTCTAAACAGCATTGAGAAAACTCACAGAATGTTTCCCAACTTAGAAACTTAGCTGAAAATACTCAATATGGAGGTTTTTTTGCAACTTTAAGTTTATCTTTAACAATCTTTCTACAAGGCATATCCATGCTGGTAGATAATTAGTCACAAATGTATGTGCTCCAACTGAAGGAAGCCACTGTATCTTTGGACAGATTCCTCATTTCATTCAGCTTTGGATAGACATGGAAGTGTAGAACATGGCAAGGATTTCATCACAGCAAAATAATTCATTATTTCTCCTATACCAGCCAGTAATGGATCTGTTCTGCTTCATACCATTGAAATACTTCGACTTTGAACTCTAGAATATTATTCTATTTTATAGATTCTATTTAAGGATCTCAAATAGATCCTTATAGATAGATCTATTTCAATTAGATCTTATAGATCACTGATAGTGTATCTATACTAAAAATATTAGAGATGAGAAAGTATTTGCTCAAGTGTAAGATCTTGCATCTACACAGCTGTGCTCTTTTCCATCTGCCCAAGGCAGAGCAACTGCATCTAAAGTACCCATTTGGAATCGTCCCTAAAGAGCAATATCTCCCCAGCCACTTCACAGCAGATCCTGTGGAAGGGGCACATGCCAGAAACAACTCAAAGAAAAGCATTAAACAGCACATACAACACAATTCCAGTGTTCAACCCATGCTCAGACACTTCCATTTACCAGTCTTCTGGAGGACTGATTACTGGTATAGTGTCTGTACTAGCATAAAGGCGTTATACCTGTAATAATGATGAAGTTATTTTTACATATGTTTTCTTTACCTGGTTTTCAGAAGTTTTAAAATGTTGCCTTACTGCAGCTAAAATATCTTCAGTTTCATTCCGTGAAAAATAATAACAGTCTTCATCATGCCTTAAACTAAGCATACTCTGTAGGTAAAATTTATAATCCTTATCATTCAAGCTGAATTCTGAAGAACACATATCTCTATGATGAAGAATGTAGTAGAGAAGAATAAGAGAAATTTTCTCAAATACTTCTTCACTGAGATGGTCTTCTAAATTTCCTCCAGCTATTATTAACAAAGCATCTGGTTCAAGGCACTGTGAAGAAATAAAAATAAATGGAAATTCAACTCAAGTGACACTCTGCCAGGCATCTGCAAATACAGATAGGAAGGACAACAGGAGAATGCAACTTCTATATTTAACCCACAACTACATAGATGCAGGCTGATGGAATGGCAGGAGGAGGGTGCAGGTAATTCATTGCAGTTCTATGGCTGCAAGATCATACCATGGGATTTTTTTCCAGAGCCCCATTTGATTTTAAGAAAAGTTAAGTGTCCTAGAGATGACACTTTGAGTAATCTGTTCTATGGTAGGGAGAGTGGAACTATGTGATCTTTAAGGTCCTTTCAAACTCAAACTATTCCATAATTCTATTCCATAATTCTATGATTTAGTGTTTTGCGACTACCTACAATTAGGAATAATGCTGATCAATCATTGTAGAGAGCAAAAACCATCCACTGGCTTCAGCAGATTATGCTTCTGGTTACAAATATATGAGATAAGGGCTAGGGCTATTCATATTTTCATCTGTGCATTCTATATGTGTTTACATTATAAGATAAAAACAGTTGCTGAACTGCAGTTAATTGAGGCTATGCAAACAGAAGTTATAGCACATTCAGTGCACTGCTGAGATACATAATTGAGCCTGTAATCACACAGCTATTTTTATGGTTCTCAATGAATTCTGTTAACTGCAACAATAAGATCCAGTACAGAGAGCCAGCATAAGGTCTCAACCCCATTTAGTCCTTCAAATGCATTTCAAGAGGGACTGAAATTACATATTAACCCTGTGCAGGCTTTAGAGAGTAAATACGAATAGAGATTTTTTAATATGTATGCACACACACACACACACACACACACACACACATCCATCTATGTATCTATGTATCTATGTATCTATGTATCTACCTATCTATGTATCTATGTATCTATCTATCTCTCAACATTTTATTGATATAAAAACACTTTTCTGAAACTTTTGCCACTCATACAAAAGTGAATCTGTAAATCAGGTCAAAAGACTAATAGAGCTCTATCTCAGGCTATGAGAAATAAGTCCAAAATAAAGAATCTTTCTTGAAGAGATCTTGTAATTAATGTTATTTATTCTGTATCTATTTTTTATAGCAGACTTCTTTCCAAGCATGTTATAGATGTGTCAGCTAATCTCCACAATAGTAGAGCAGCTGAACTGTATATTTCAGAGAAGAAACTACAACACATGAGATACCATGGAAGAATCAACACTGCACTTTAATAAATTAATTAATCCAGACAGAATCCAATTTGTCAGAATAAATTTTTTGCTGTTACAAGCATGATGGGTTGTTTGGTGGGGCTCACCTTGTACATTAGTTCATTTTCCAACACTGAAGCTGGGTTAATGAAAGAAACATTGTCATGTTCAGAAGCCAAAGTTCCCTGGAGGAACTGAGAGAGCTGCTACTTTTTAATATGAAGAGCTCTAACAAAAATTCTCAAAATAATGTATCTTTAAAAAAGAAAAAAAAAAAAAAGAAAATTGTAGATATTAATATCCAAATAAAATATTTATAAATATGCTAGATTACAGTATGATTCACTGTGTCCTGTCCTGCCTACATTGTTTATCAAGGTCTTTAACTTTTCCTAATGCAGTCTCTGAGAATTACTCTTTGGATTAGGAGTAGTCTATTCTGTTTTCTGTCCCAAAGACCTCAAGTCAACCAGCCTTTATGAACACACAGTAGTTTCATATAAACATATGGCATGAAGTGGAAGATTTTCAAAGATATCTGTGAGATTTTAAAATCCATAGAGGATAAATTGCAATCAGTGAATCCATTGTTTGCTCTTGAAAGGAAGATGACTGAAAAGAAAATTCCTAATTTAAAGGAAGTAGATGCACTGCAAAAATGCAGTTACTCCATGCAGTAGCCCATGGTGAGTGACCCTTGAAGAGATATTAAGAGAATATAAAGCGATTTGTCACTAGGTTGTTTGTTTTTTTGCTTGTTTGTTAGTTTGGGGGGGTTTTTGCTGCTACTAATATTTTTACAGGAATAACCATCCATCCTTGATTTAGAAATGCTTATTTCCCACAAAAAAAAGCCCAGAATTTGGGCACAGAAGTCTGAGTTTCTTTTAAGTGGCTAGAAGTTAAAAAAAAATTTTCTTACTAATGCAAGAAATACATGACTTATGTGAGCATAGGAGATAAAAAAATGTCAGATGCCATTCAATAGCTGCCAGCCCCTGCCCAAAGAGTATTAGGCCACCACACAACAACAAACCATAAGAGGGTCAAAAGAAAGTGTCAAACTTCACTGCTTTTAAATGCCCGCTAGAGAGAGTGTAAAAACAAAAGAAAAAAAAGTCTGAAAACAAAGTCATGTGGTATAAAAAGAATCCAGAATTTAGAAGGGAACTTGAATCTGAAATCAATCAGTGATTCCCACTTAAGTAGGAAAAAATGGAGGAAGGAAAATTCCAAGCTAAGGTGGGCATTCTGTTTCAAATTTTGATGAACTTGAAGGATAGTGCTGCTTGCACAGTTTTTCTGTCTTGATTTACCAAATCTTGTTAAATCATCATGGAAGATTTCAGCGGAGTACCACGGGGGCTCCATGTGACTGAAAATACCACATCTCTCTCAAGAACTTCCTACAGAAAACCACGTTTCTGTGGTGCTGGCACAGAACCACTGACAGTGCAGGATGTGCACAGTGTTTCTGACTCAGATGACACTGAGGAGTATTATAAATGGTGAAAGTTCTCAAAGTCTTCCTACAGAAAATTTCCAAGATGATGCCTGAACAGAGCAGCAGTCCTGACCAAAGTAAGTCCCAGCTAAATTCCCCTGAGATTTAATCCATCCAAGGACACAGTGGGCATGCTCTCCAGAAATATATAACAAATACAAGAAAAAAACATGCCACTCAAGAAGAAAAACAAAAAGGACAGAGAAAAACCTAGTCCCCTGTTTAGTGAATTTGTGAATTTTAGGAGGACTATATACCCATGTTTAATACATTGGCAGTTTTCAATATGGCCCTATATCTGATGTGTATTTGTTGCATCACATAAGTGAATAATCTCCTTCATTAAAAAATAACCATTTAGGTAATGACAGGCATCTACAAAATTTATATATGAAACTTCACATTTGGACTCATATGAAAAATGGGAGCATTTTTAGAAAGGGTCAATTAAGTGAGCAGCTGTCTACTGCAAAGGATTAAAAAATTCCTACTTCATTGGCTTAGCAGATTGCTGAAAACAGCACCTTGTAAAAACATTCACCTTTCAGACCATCTTCATAAGTGTGGTATAAAAAGTGCTGTATGTAGGTCACTGAACAGTGCCAGAGTAATGAAAGCCAAGGCTGACCAAGCCCTTTGTCGTCCCTTTCAGCTAAGTTGCTCAGTAACACTGTCCCTGTCCTTTCTTCATTGAATCAGGACTGAGTTCTGAAAATATTCTTAAGTAGAAGCCAATCCCTCTGTGCAACTGTACCCTGGACTACTTCCAGTTTCAGTTTGGATTTGTGTATTCATTGTGCTGCCTTTCCTTTTCCTTGACCTGAACTGCTTACAAAACCCTCCCCATAATCTTGAATATTTCAGTGAAATGGCACATAAATCTGAGACAATCCTGTCTGGATTTTATTTTTATGAAGTAAAATCCAGAACAACAACAAAAAAAGTGGCAGAACTGGTCCCCAGTGTTTACCTGTCTTTCCACAGTGGAATCCTATGCCCCAAATTCAAGCTCATGCTTTTTTTGTTAGACCAGGTTTCAGTAGAAAAATTTTTGCTGGAAAGCAAACACTTGGAAACTTTAAAATAAATGTCTGTCATGTTTGGAATAGCTCTTCATGAACTCAAAAAAAAAAAAGAAAAATTCAAAATGAAACAAAACAGGGACAATTTTTTTTGGCTGCAACAAGAAGTTTTTTACATGTTTAGGTATTGTGTTTAGGACAGTATCACTCTAACAAATGTTAGAACTCACTGATGATCCTGTAAAGATATCCCTCATTAATTGAAGCACTAACCAGATTACAATCCTCTTGCATGCCATAAATCCGCTGTGGGCACTCAGCTCTCTCCAGTAACACTTTGACCAGTTCTCGTGAGTGGTTCATGTGGAGCTCAGTGTTTTCAGCTGAGAGAATGCGTAAAACTTCCACCAGAGAGCCTCTGCTGGGAGGATTGCTGCCATCCTGCCCATGCTCTTCCCCAGGCTGTCCTTCAGCAATGAGCACGCTGAATATGAAAGCAGAACATACCACCCCAATAGCTGGATGCTTGGTCAGAAAACACATCTCCTCTTCCTGCAGTGCCTGATCTGCACTGAATGTTGGATTGTTGTTTGCACTTCACAGCTTAAACTGGAAACTTGAAGAATCTGAATGGTAAAGGGGAAAAAAAACCCAACCCTTTAATTAGTGCGAATGCAGTATGTTCTAAAGGATTTATTAATTGGTCGGCTAAGCTGATTTGCAGTGACAAGCTGTTTTTGAACAACAGGGAGCCTGTAAAGGCTTTACAGCACAGAACAGCATGAAACTAAGACAACCATGGCCTCAAAACTTCTTTAGAATTACCAACAAGTGGTTGTCTCAAAGTGCCCTTCCCTCTTCTTAAAAATAAAGTCTATGGGTTTCATTTAGTGTTATGTTATTGCATTCACTAATAATTCTTTTCAGTAAGAATAGGAAAATACAATGGCTTTCACTTTCATTTCATCATGAAAACAGGTTTTTAGTAACAAAAATAGCTGTAAATAAATACTGCTAGTCTAATACTAATATGAATGTGCAGCAATTACATTACATAGCAATAATATAAAGCAGGTTATATTGTCAAAACACTTTACCAACATTACTAAACTCCAGCTATACAGCACAAAAAAAAGAAGGAAAAGGATGTATTTAAAAATTAGTGATCACTACTCAGACGGAAGAATTACAAAGCTGAGGTTATAATTTCACTCAAAGAACTCAGTGAATAAACAAGACAAACAAGCTCAACTTGTTAACTCTAGGTGCAAAAGACATATTGTACTATAAATCTCTCTTGTCACAATCCTTCCTAATAAACAACTTCTGCTTTAACAGTAATATATCTTGATATCAAAGCACAAGAAATATAAAAGAGTTTCACTTCTGTTTTTCACAGAAGTTTTGATTTTATTGGTAGGCAGCTGCTGGCTCTAACATACATATTCAGATAGTAAGGCACATGTGTTAAACAGCCACATATACGTTCATCTTCTTTCAATTGCAATATGATACACGTACCTTATTTTACAGGAAACTCTGCCAAAAAAAGTATTTAAAATTGAAAAAGAACTGCTGAATTCAAATGTGCACTTAGATAAAAGTTAGTATGCTTTTAGATGTTAGGAAATCTTTTGGTGTTTAGATATATTCTACTGTTAGCAATTAGGAATATGTATCATTGTTACAATTTATTTCTAAATGCTATTTTCTTACCTTCTGAAGGGAAAAAGAATGCTTGTGTATCTAGCTTTGTGGCCTTCTGAATCCTCAGAAGTATTTAGCTGCTGGAAGTCCAATGTTTTTAAAATTCCTTGATGGTGCTCTGGAAGCTGGAGAGGATTAGTTTATTGCTGCCTTGAAAAGTTTTCAGTTGCTATGGAGAGAGCTGCCCTTAAGGTAACAATGGAGGTGGATAGGAATTAGTACACGTTCTTCTTGTACTTGCAAGTTCTAAGCATTTCATTATTGAATTTATTTCACATATTCTTGTAGTTATCATTTTATGTAAACAGTCTATTTTAGAAGTACAAGATGTATAAAATCTACTAAAGAATGCATTTCATTATAATGGATAAGAAATGCAAGCACTCAACTGTTCTGTGTTACTAAATTATTTGATCAATTCTAGTACAAACATGATTTTTTTTAATTGAAATATTAGTACTTTTTTGAAAATATGAGCACACAATAGAAGTAGAAATCTTTTCAAGCACATCCATAGAAAAATGGTATTTTTTCTTTGCAAAACACTGTCTGTAGAAAACAGCCTCTTTCATCCCCACTTATCCTGTGTCACATTTGCACCAACTGGAAAAGCTGGGATAGCTCAGCCTGTGGTGAAAAAAAATGCCATCCACCCACTCAGATTTTCCAGAGGGACGCTGTTACGAAGTTGACATTTACATCACCGTGCCATTACAATATTACTGCATTGGAAGTTAGTGAAAACTGTCACAAGTGACAGATTTCTACAGACTGGTACACCAGTCATATCATTCTCCCACCTTCCACACCTTCCGTGCTGTTAGGAAGGACTATCATCTCAGCTGCCTCAACAAATCCTGTGAAGCAGTAAGCCTGTAGTAATAGAAACATCATCATTCTCCTTAAAGCTAGATTAATACAAAATCCTGGGTTCTAAGATGTCTGTAATGCTGCCTACAAGGTGGTGAGCTCAAAGGGAACAGCCTTGTTTTAGCAAGATTGAGAACTGACAACTGATGGTGACTACAAAAGAATTCAACTGACAATGCTTGAGGGAAATGCAAAATGTAAACAAATGTTCTCAGAAATGCAAAGTACAATTACTTGTACAGATTCTTCTGTGATGATGGCTGAGTATTTGAAAAATCAGTCTTACTTTTAAATATTCTTTTATTTTACTTCATAAATTACAAAATATATTTCTCAAACTAACATTTCTAAATATACCACTTTATGAAAACAAGAATTACAGAAATTTTTCATAGAAATATTTTTATAAGAATGAATGAAAAGCAGAAACACATGATAATATGCATTTCCTCTGGCTTTTATATCATTTGTTCTGTCAAACAAAGCTAACCATGTCCAGATTTGTTCCACTAATAAAATAATTCCTCAGATAATAGGGGAATAGCTTCCAGGATTTAATTCTAGGGATTGCTCAATCTCCAAACAAACATAGAATAGGTTTATCTGTATACAATTTGATGTTTTGTGTATAATTACAAATTGAAACGAAGAATTAATTCCATCCAATTAAAGTGTACAAAGAGACGGTGAGTTGTTTCAGTTTACTGAGAAAAGCTAACATTTAAAAACACATTTGATGATTCATAACTATTGAAAGCTTCTGAGAAATTATTATTGCATAATAATACTGGCTACAAATTAATGTTATATTACAGAGTGATGGTAAAAAAAGAAAATATTCAGTACATTAAAAAACAACAGATAATAACTGGTACAGGTGACTATGGCTGATCTCAAAGGGGAATTCACTTCTCTTTTTATGACTAAGTGTTGCAAACCCCTTCTGGCTTGGAAATGAGCTTCTCAGTGGTGGCAGAATCACTGGCAATGACTCAAGGCTCACCCTCTGCTTTTTTTACCCTTGGCACTGTTTTCAGTAATGCCACTGTCATTAAAGAACTATTCTGTCTACACAGCACTTGGATTACCTCTTCTGAAGTAATTGCTGGCATCAGTTGCTTTTTGTTCAAACCCTTGTGCAGCAGCCTTATTCCCCCACTACTTACCCATCCCAAAGCCGTGACAACTGATCAAATGGGACCACGACAATTACAGAGGTGGGTAGTTAGATGCCCATTAGAAATTTACTGAGATACACAGAAAAAAAAAATCATTTATGCAGTTTAGTATCTTAAACCCTCCCAAAGCAACTATCACTAATATTGTAACTCGTGTTATGAGACTAACATTTTGACTCCGATTTTACTGAATGACTTTTGGGGAATTTTGATAAAGGGGAAAAAAACTACATGCCCAATGTTCATAAGCCAGAGACTCTCCATTTACTGTAGAATGATAATATGCATGGAAGAACCTTGAGAAGAACTGAAGAACTAGGGTAACTCAGAGTGAAGTACATTACCATTCTAACATGACAACAGACTCTCTACAGCAAAACCAAAGGTAGGATGAATTTTCTGATTAAATAAACAAATTTTTAAAAATTATTTTTCTATTTTACACTTACTTATATACCTTGGCATGTTAAAGCAAGGATCTAAGACCAAGAATTTTTAGAAAAAAAACCAGTATCTTTAAATTAGTTTAAACAATTACCATGCTGGGGTACTCACAAGAAAGTAACTGATTGCTGACAGGCATAGGTGTGTGACCCAGGAAAAAAAACTAAAGGAAGAAATAAGATAAAAAGAAGAGAGAAAAATGTGAACTTCTCAAAACTCTATTTCCTTACCAGATTCATGATCCCAGACAACTGCATATAAATTTTTTTCCACCCACAGATACAATCTTTTAAGATTTAGAAAGCTTATATAGGAGTAACTTACGGCCTTAGTGAAAAAGAGTGAAAGCAATTTAGAAATGGCATAACTAGACACAGAACATGCAGCAAGGCCTCTCCAGTTACAGGGGTTTATTTAGTTAGTTAGTTTTCATTTTGAGTGAACCAGTAAGACTAACTGCAGCTTATCTGGTTTCTCCCACCTTCACATCTGCTGTGGGAACAAAAACAAGTTGCCCATTCACAAATGCCATGGATAACTGCACTTTGCAATTTACTGGGTTTCAAATGACTGGTGAATAAATTGTACAGGAACAGGAAAACTCTTTAGGGGACTCACTCTGAGATGACAAGGGCATTCCCATGAGCCCTACGAACATGACAAATGGCTTTATTTTATTTTTACAGTAGGAGGGAGAGGATGTAGGCATAATTTTAGCAAGACCCCTGCTGAATTTCACATCATACTGGGTAATGCAGCTATATAACTCTTATTCCTTCAATACTGTGCAACTTGTTTTGATAGACTAAGCAAATGCATTTTTTTCCTTTTTACTAATTGCAGCAATTATGGCAAATAGAAGAGAATCCTCTGGCACTGCAGCTTTCCTCCATGTTATTAATGTGATGTGTGCACATTGTATAATTACAGCCATAGGCAGTATATTGACATATGAAAGAACTACATTTTGCATGTAATTTGTGGAGAATTTTAATACATAAAGTATCTCTGCCAATGTAACGCCAGGGTGCTGTAATAAAAAATGTCAGTACTTTAAAATTACCACAGTCAATTAAGTCTTTTTGGCATCATATGCCAATCTTAACAATATCACATATATTAAGGTTGCCAATGAACTAAAATAATTTAATATTATTTAAATTATCTGAGTTACATGTATTAGCACTGGAACAAATCTTGTTTCAGTTCAGGAATACAAAATTCACTTGTTAGCAGAAAGTTTACAAGATGACCTGGAAATATATTTACATTAAAGTAGAACAGCAAGCAAGAAGTTACAGATTACTATACACTCTAGGCCAGCAAACCCTCCTATATTTCAAGAAATATACCTCCAGAGATTCCTTCTCAGATATTACATAATTAAGGTGACATTTATTGTCCTAAAATATTGCTCATTAAATAATTTTCATGTCAAGAAAACTGTTTTGAAATGAAATGGAAGTGTTCATTTATATGGAAAGTGTGATCTAAAAGTTAATTGCCTCCATCTGAGGAGGACTTCTCCCTCACACAATCTCTCTGTTGCTAACTGTCTGGTTGTGTTTAAAAGAAAATAGAAAAAGAAAACCAAAATACATTTGGATGTAGGTGTTACCATCAAGAGTATTCAGTGATAGCAATTGTCAAGAGCTGAGTCAGAATGGGAGATATTAGAATCTTGGGTATAAAAAAAAGGAGGTTCTGTAAATATGGATATAAGTTTGCTCACTTTTTACACATAAAACACATAGTTTAAAAAATGCTCTTGTGTTTATAATTCTTAGGAATATTAGAAGCCTAACTTTTATGAAGGTATCTAAACATTAAAGCACAGCTACTAGACCACCAAGTCAGCTTCAGTTATCTCACTTCCTCTTATACCAAAGAGATGCAAAAATCAGTTTCTAAGTTTTTCACTGTCTATTGTATGGTTTTGTTCTGCAGTGTTATCAGACTGTTATGTATATTGTTTCTTATTTTTTCCTTTAGGTTTCCAAAGAAACTGGGCTCAAAAACTGAGTTGATCTGAGTTGACCCGGTCCAAAGCACTTACAGTCCCACCATGTATGTTGAACTATTAATTTAAACATCTCAGATGAAATATTGTGTAGTGTTACAGCACAGAACACTAATATTTTGATGCATATTGATTTTTTCCTTTCCTGATGATGCTGATTAACTTATGCTTGAAAATCACCCAAATGTTCTTTATGTACTTGTGTGTTTTTTTCTTTATATAAATATTCATAAAACATTCATAAATAATTTTTACTATTAGAGAAATTGAGATAACAAGTGATTACTTACTTGTTTTTTAAACTATGACTCAGTGTTCAGTTCTAAAGAAATTCTCACAATACGGAAGAGTCATTTCAGGCAAAAACCTGTTGTCTGAGAGATGACTGATGTTTCTCAAGGTCTTTTAGTCTACCCCCCCAAAAAAATGAAAAACGTAAGTTTCTGAGTCATGAATACAAGCCAGAATGAGAGAAGACAGTTTCTTTCCATCTCTTTGTCTTAAATTCAGGAAGTGTGTAAGTGGTACCAACATTAAGGAAAGCCTGGAGAATATTTGAGTGATTAGATGGGCTTCAAGTAATAGATGCTGAATTAATAAAGATGAAAAGAAAATTAAAAAAAAAAAAAAAAGGAAAATCCTGGA